CTGCGGGGATGCTCGGCTTCTTGGGGAGCCACTCCGAGGTGGGGAGGTGCAGGTTCAGATGGAGCAGGATGGAGAGAAGCCAGGAGGGGAGTCAGGATGCCAACTGCAGTGAGGCCCAGCGGGATGCCCGGCAGAGCCACACCCTCTCTTTGACAGGAAGCCCAGCTGCCTCAGGCTTCCCTGCCTGCCGCCCAAGTGCCCTGGTCTCTGCCACCCTGGGCCCTGCTCACACTTGGGGCAGCGCCAGTCAGTGCCCCCTTTCCTCCCGCAGGTAGCGGAGAAGCGCTGCCTATCCTTGAAAGAGGAACGGTGTGCGAGGGCAGACCCTAGTCATGGCACCGCCCAGTTGGACTCAACATCTTCTGAGTCTGCAGCGGGCCAAGGAGCAGAGAGAGATGTCCCTGACCCCCAGCAAGGGGTCAGCATGGAATCCTGCCCACCCCAGACGGCTGCCTGGGACCCTCAGGGACGAGGCAGAGCCTGTACTGGCATGGCCAGGTCTAAAAACCCTGTTATGCTTTTGGAGAGTTTGGATTCCCACAGGCTGAGGGCTGCCCCACCAAACTCCCCTTCCCAGGACCACAGACCCACCTGCCCTGGTCTGGGGACCAAGGACACCTTGGGTCTCCCTGGAGGGTGTCCTGTCAGGGAGTCACGTGGGCTGGCTCAGGGGTCAAGTGAGGAGGAGGAGGAGCTCCCCAGCCTGGCCTTCCTCTTGGGTTCCCAGCACATGCTGCTGCCCTGGAGGCTGCCCCAGAGCCCTGTCCCTGCCTCAGGCCTTCTCAGCCCAGAAGGACAGGGACCCCAGGGAGCTCCTCAGTCTCCCTCTGCTCAGAGAGGAGGCCTCAGCCCAGCATCCGCTCCTGCCACCAAGTCCAAGAAGCGAGCTCTCTTCGGAGGTCCATCCCCTGCTGAACAGATGCCCCACCTAGGGCCTGGGCTCAGAGTCTCTGGGGCACAATCCCTGGCTTGTGGGCTGAGTGGCCCCTCACAGCCTCAAAAGAGAAAGGGTGACCCCTTTGGTCTCCAGGAAGAAGAAGAAATGTGCTTGTAGCCAGTAGGGGGACAGGGCAGGCTCTCCGGTGCCAATCCCCGAGGTGGGGCTCTGACATCCAATGCCCCAAAGCAGACAAAAGCTTCTCCCCCAGCGCTGAGGTTGCTGGGCCTTAGCTTTGGAGGGTGGGGGAGGGAGGGGAGGGAGATGGTGGCTGAACAGGAAGGGAGGGCGGGGGGGGTGGAGGGGGGTAGGGAGCAACGCCTTGGGGGTCTCGTGTGTAAATATGAATAAATATCGTTGTGGTGGGAATGCTCTCCGGCTGCTGCCTTTGTCCTCAGGGCTGTGCTGCTCAGTGGAGGGGGTCTGTGAGGGACAGCAGAGGGACTGGGAGATGCCAGGCACTGGGGACCCACGGGGGCCAGCCCCACTTGTTCCTCCAGGTGTAGGCTGCCCCTTCAGATGCTCCAGGGACTGACAGATGCTCAGGAAGCCCTGATCCCTCCCACCACCCACTCACAAGGCCCCACCTGCTTCAGTTATCAGCATCCCTGGGAAATCCTGGGATGGAGAGAGCTGGCTGGCTCTTGTTCTGCCCGGTGGGAGCTGAGAAGGCAGCTGCCTGCAGCATGGACACAGGGAGAGGCGGCCGCTCCTGCTTAACCCTCATTAGGAAGAGCTCGGGCCCTGGGCTGAGGGGAGATGTCGAGGTGTCCATCCACATGGGTGTGTTTGGGGTACGACAGTGGGTGGGGAGCAGGGGAAGTCCCTCTGCCGGTTTCTGGGCAGAAAAGAGTCTTGTCCAAATGGTGGAAGCAGATGCTCCTTGCTGTGGACAGGGACTGGCCTTAGGGGCCCTCGGGGTCCTGCATGGAGCCCCCCACAGCTATGATTCCCTTCCCATATGATGACTGAACTCTTGTGTGGAATTGATGCAGACGCAGATTTACATTGGTATCTGAAAAAGTTCCCTTCCAACCCACCATCACCAATGGGCACAAGCATGGCCAGCCTGTCAGGCGCAGGGTGGGTGTGTCTGCTGGTCCCAGGGCCAGGGAGAGCTGGGACCCAGGCAGAGAGGGGCCGAGGGTGAGCCGCCCTTCTGCCAGGCACAGACCTCAAGGGCAGAGCAGGCGCTGCCTGGATGCGGCACTGGCTGTCTGGGAAGTGCCCTGGGAGTCGGGGGCCTGGTGTTTGCTGAAGGGAGACTTCCGGAGTCTAAGAGTGAGATGAGGACTGCACCAGGAGACGGACTGAGGCTGGGGAGGACCCTCTGCTCTTTCCCACACTGTCCTGTCCTCCCCATCTCTGCTGAACTCCCCTCACCCCATGTGGCCCACCTCTACCCCCTTACCCCTAACCCACCTCTCAGAATCTCAGATCGCAGCATAGACAGGACCCGGCACCCGCCCCGGTTCCCTCCTGGCCAACACCTTCTTCACTGTCTGAGTTCCGATTCCTCCCCAGGGCCCTTGTTGGCTCAGGACCAGGGTGACTGCTAGGGCACTGGTCCCAGCACTCCCTGTATGCAGAGCTGTGGTCATGGTGCTGGGGGCTGACCCAGCAGCAGAGGCTGGTGATGCAAAGCTGTCTGGTACACAGCAGTCTGGCCCCTCTGCCGAATGACAAAGGGAGCCATATTTGGGTCCTCTCCAGCCCCATCCGCCCACAGAACACACCAGTCAGCTGGATGGATGCCCCTCTGCCCCATCCCTACTAACATTATTTATGATTCTAACTAAATAGCTAACATTTTTTATTTCACAGCTAACATTTTTAGTGATTCTTCACTTCAAATGACTGTCTGTTTGCGTACCTATTTGCCTCTCTTTTAGGGGTGGAGTCTTACTATGTTGCCCAGGTTGGCCTCAAACTCCTGGGCTCAAGCAATCATCCCACCTCAGCTTCCCAAATAGTTGGGACTATATTTGCCTGCCACCACACCTGGCTTCAAATGACTTCACTGAACTGACAAACTACTGGTCTGACATGTGCAGAAGGTACTTACCTTATACATTGTTAAGAACAAAGTTTGAAAGAGCTTTTTAACCCTTGGACCCAGGAGTCCGGTATCTTAAAGCAAATCTTTCTTGGGTGAAGCCAGGCATTCCCCAGCTGTCTTGGGTGTTGACAGCCAACAACTCATAGCTGAGTTTGCATCCAGGCCTTGTCCTTGACATAAGGAGCTACCTCACTTGAGGTTACACCCCTCCCAAGAACAGCCCCTCCAGTGGCTGCTCAGGGTGAGGTACGAAGGCCTGACTCCCCTCCCTTATTTTGAGGCATTAAAGAGCTATCCCAGCTCTGGAACTCCTTGCACAATCAGCCAGAGCCTCTGCTGTAACTCAGGGCAGTCCAAACTGTCCTTCCTCAGTCCTCTACAGGTTAGACACTAGCAGCGCCACCCACTAAACTTCCTGGATGCAAATCTCCATTCATTTCTTCACCTATTTCTCAGCGAACCCAACCTAGGATTATAAAATAATATGAAAAGATCCATGCAAATAAAAGATGTGTGCATATCATAGTAAAACTTTATTAACAAGAAATTATAAATCTATCTTAAGGGGCTATGATAATACATAATTGAATCTACATGAAAATAAAAAAGATATGGCAGTGCTCTATGAAAGAAGATAAAAACTATAAATTCAATGTTTAGAACAATGTTCTTAAAACATGAATGTTATTTCTGGAACTTTGAAACTTTTTTTTTTTTTTTTACAAAAAACATGAAATGGATCATCTTTGTCAAATTTCAAAGGAAAAAAGCATTCTTCATTGGATGGCATTTCCATCTGACTTCTGCTCAAAAGAGAAAACTCACCAATGACTACCTAACAAGGGTGCTGCTTCTTGCTGGCCAGGCTCTCTCTTCCCTGAGGTCAACCTCATAATTCACCCCCAGTCTTCCCGCTGATGCGCCTTCCACCTCAATGCACAAAGAAATCCCTTTCCTAATTGCTTCCACATTCGTATCTTGAGTCTTGACTTTCATCTAAGCAGCCTACTGGACTATCTTCTGTGGTATAGTCTACTTTATGGGAACCGCTTATGAATCTATTCTAGCTTTCTAATCAGATGGTACATTTCTTAATAGTTTATTCACTTTATTTCCCCTAAATTTATGTAAGACTGATGTGAGTCTTAAATAAATTAAACATCGGCCAGGTGCGGTGGCTCACGCCTGTAATCCCAGCACTTTGGGAGGCTGAGGTGGGTAGATCACTTGAGGTCAAGAGTTCACAACCAGCCTGGTCAACACGGTGAAATCCCGTCTCTACTAAAAACACAAAGATTAGTGGTGGTGCACACCTGTAGTCTCAGCTATTTTGGAGGCTGAAGCAGAAGAATCACTTGAACCTGGGAGGCAGAGGTTGCAGTGAGCTGAGTCCATGCCGTTGCACTGCAACACAGCCTGGGCAACACGAGTGGAGCTCCGTCTCACAAAATAAAAATAAAAATTAAACATCAACGCATTTTGGATAAAGAGTAAATGAATAAAGCATCAATTACTGAATAAAGAAAATAAATTTTAAAAAGGGAATAATTTACTAAATATTAAGTATTCAATTCATGTTTTTCCAAAATATATTTTATAAGTGACAATATTTACACAGGTCTAAATGACAAGGATAAGCAGGGAAAGAATTAGACTTAATGTGTAGGTAAAGAGGATGAGCATGGGGAAGGAGGATTCCTACCTACCTCACTAAGAGGGGAGAGAGAGAAGTTATTTTTCTCCCTGGGTCTCAGGCCTTCCTTCTCTCCCTCTTCAGGCCTCATCCTGGGAGCAGTAGTTCCCAGCAAAAATATCCAAGATGCTGCTGCGAAGCCAGCTGGCTGCCGAGCCTCCCCTCTGCTCCTAAGCTCCCACTCACCTGGGCAAGGTCCTGCTGTCATGCCCCTGTTCACCAGCCAAGGCTGGTTTTCCTCTTCCAATAAGGAGATCACATCTGGCTTTAAAATGGAAAGTCCTACATGCAAAAGAAGAAATGAAACAGGATCAAGCTGGAGGGTGGCAGAATTCAAAGCCAGCTTTTGGTCACCAGAGAAGAGAGACTGGCTGGGCACAGTGGCTCATGCCTGTAAGAAATTCCAGGGTTTTGGGAGGCCGAGGTGGTAAGGTCGCTTGAGCCCAGGAATTTGAGAGCAGCCTGGGCAACATGGTGAAACTCTGTCTCCACAAAAAATACAAAAATTAGTACGTGGTCCCAGCTACTCAGGAGGCTGAGGTGGGAGGATCACTTGAGCCCAGGAGGTTGGAGTCTGTGGTGAGTGAGCTGAGATCATGTTGCTGCACTCCAGTCTGGGTGACAGAGCGAGACCCCATCTCAAAAAGAAAAGAGACGATCATGAGAATAACAAGAGGGAAGTATGCAAGTCTTCTAAGGAATGTGTGCAACAGAGATGCCTTTTCCACAACCACCAAGTACAGACTTCCTTCAGTAGTGGGAAGCAGAAATTCAGACAACCCCCAAATTCACAAGGATGAAGGCAGAACTTCTGAAGGGTGGATACTGAATCATCTGCAAGTAAGTATCCTTACTGACTGAGACCAGATTGCTGTAGTTCTCCAGCATCACACATCTGTACAAGTGCCTCTGAGTAGCATCCAGGAAGTCCCATTTCTCCCGAGAGAAGTCCACGGCCACATCCTTGAATGCCATCAATCCCTGAAAAAAGCCAACATATACGTTATCAAGTGAAATAAAAGACAAGTTTTCATGACGGAGAGAGAGATGGAAAAAGGCCTTATAGAAAGGGATAGGTGCGGTGGCTCACGCGTATAATCCAAGCACTTTGGAGGCCAAGGCAGACGGATCACCTGAGGTCGGGAGTTCAAGACCAGCCTGACCAACATGGTGAAATCTTGTCTTAAAAAAATAATAATACAAAAGAAAAAAAAAAAAAGGAAAGGGATAGACGTAGGCTGAGGCTAGAGGCAGGAGTGTTGGGGGGATCAGAGCAAGGACCTCTCCCTCCGTATCACTGTCAAAACAAGCCTTTCCAGATGGAAGGGCTGGGAGTGAACAAATATGGTGAAATGAGGTTTCCCTAGCAGATGAAACAGCAAAAAACACACAGTTTCAAGGAAAGAAACCACAAACCCATGGCCTCCATCCATCTTGTCTTAAATTATATTTCTACCTTTAAAGTACAATTTGCACATGACATAATAATTTCATGGGGACTCAGTTTCATCCCTAAGTCAGAATATGAGATCACAAGCATTTTTTTTTTGTCAAGATAAATATTAAGTTTTTTATTGCTTGGTATATACAAGATAAGTGGTATGCCTTATGGTCATAACTGAATTAACCATTATTATACTTTATATTTTAGACATTTAAAATTTCCCAGATTTCTCAAGGTCTTCGCAGATAAAACTTATTATCTGGGTATCCTATCACATCAAATTAAAAAACTCAGTGGAAGAGATCAAAGCTTTCTTATGTGCATACCTGTATGGCAATTCGTCTGAGGTTTATTAAGCAATGATTTTGTAAATGAAGGTTTTCTTGTTTCCCTTGAGGGAATGTGCTCTATCTGCATTCTTGGCTGAAAACTGGGCAAATAAAAGGAGAACACAGACACACTAAACAGAAAACACATAATGATAGAATAGACCTATCCCTAACAATGTAAATAATTTTATTTAATGTAAAGTGGATAATATAACAAAAGGCTAAAATTGCCAGACTATCCTTAAAAACAAAACTCAACCAAATGCTGTTTACAAAAGACACCCTTAAAATATAAGGATAGAGAAAGACTGAAAATCAAAGGATAGAAAAAGCCACAGTATGTAAATACCAACCCAAACCCAGCAGGTTTAACTACAGTAATATCAGACAAAATAGACTCATGTTTACTAATTACTGTTGCCTTAAATAGGAATATTTTATAATAGTAAGGATGTCAACTCAACAGGAACACCACAAATCTGCATGTATTCAGTCATGTAACTTCAATATATATAATATAAAAATTGGCATAAGTGAAAGAAAAAATAGACAAAATGCAAAGACAGAAATTTGGCACAACTGCATAGCAAATTTAAGTAAAAAAAATCAGTAAAGACTAAAGGTTAAACAGACACATGTAGAACACTAAAGTCAAATGACAGGATTCACAATCTTTTCAAGTGCAATTGAAGTATTTACCTAAATTGGCCATCTCCTGGGCTATAAAGAAAGGCTTAAAACTTTCAATAAGAGCCGGGCGCGGTGGCTCACGCCTGTAATCCCAGCACTTTGGGAGGCCGAGGCGGGTGGATCACGAGGTCAAGAGATCGAGACCATCCTGGTCAACATGGTGAAACCTCGTCTCTACTAAAAATACAAAAATCAGCTGGGCATGGTGGCGCGTGCCTGTAATCCCAGCTACTCAGGAGGCTGAGGCAGGAGAATTGCCTGAACCCAGGAGGCGGAGGTTGCGGTGAG